TTGCATTTTCAAGTCGCACGATCACATTACGATGCACACACGAGTCATGTACACATTGAGTCATGTCGTGTTATCACATTGAGTAGTGTTGTCAAATTTCAAACCGAAATCGTTTAACTGCCCGAAACCAACCGACCCAAATGAAAACTGAACCGATTAAAAACCGATTTTTTGAAACCGAAAAACAACCCGAACCGTATTTTAGTAAACCCGAAACCGAATAGACCCCAATAACGTTAAACCGTATAAGAACCGAACCCGTTAACAAACCGAACCAATTCTAAACCGAATTGAAAAAAAATTGGACTGAAAAAGAACCGAACCGTTTCTAACCCGAAACCGCTTCCAACCTGAAACCGTTTGAATTGGGATAAAAAAACCGTTTACACCGAACCGTTTCTAACCCGAAACCGCTTCCAACCCGAAACCGTTTGAATTGGGATAAAAACCGTTTACACCGAACCGTTTATAACCCGAATTGATTATCAACTGAATCGATTATAAACTGAACCATTTACAACCGCTTACTATAATACTATAAATAGAAGATTAAAATCAAGTTGAATGATATTTTATATGAAATTTTATTTTGCACACATGTTAACTAAAGAGTAAATTATTATTATTTTCCACTATGGATTAAGTGTTACAAACTTAGAATATTATTTGACTTCCCTTAGAAATAGCATTTGTTAGTTAATCCATGAGTATTGTATTATTTCCTCGAAAAAAAATGAGTATTGTATAATCAAAACAAGGAATATACATGAATTAAAAGCTACTTCGTATAATTTAGGCATATGCTCACTGATTTGCTAAAATATAATACCTTTGAAGCATATAATAATAATATGAAGTACAGTCATTTCTGTAATTGAGTAATTCACATCAAAATTTATGATTCTCATCACAGTTACAATTAAGCTCAACAAACTCAACTCTGACTTCTCATTACAGTTGAGCAAAATTTTGTTCTTTTTTAATATGTAAAATCACGAGTTAATCGTTCCATAGTTAACTGATTAACTGAAGAAACTAAACCATAATCAAAAGTAAAATACTAGCCAGTAGGCGGACTTGAGGTTGAACACATCAAAGAGATAATTCGTCGAGTTATTGCTTCAGCTTCTTCATGTAGACATCAATTAGAGAAGGGGGAGAGAAAACTATGTTTTTGGGCAGCAACGTTCGAATTCCGGGCACGCAGCAATGGAGGCGATTCTGGGCAACAATAATACTTCAAACAGTTGCAACAAACGAATTGATAATGAGTCTTCAAAAAAAAAAAGAATTGATGATGAGAGGTTAACAGAGAAATGAGAATGAGAGGGGGTCTGAGAATGAGATAAGAGAGAGAATGAGGGAGCAAGGAGATCGGCGCCGTGAGGAGATATAATGAGGTATAGGGAGTGAAAGTGGTAAAGTGGATAATTAGGGTTTCAAAAGTTATAAGAGGGTATATATATGTAAGTTATATGATTTAATCTAGCCGTTGATTTTTTTTTTATTCTTTAAATGTCAGCCTTTAGATTATGATTGCTTTTTTTTTTTTGTATTGGACAAGTGAAGATGATGATCCGTGTGTTGTGGGAGGAAGAATTAGACCGTTGATTGTTTTTAATCTATGGTTGGGAGTAGGTGATGTTTTGTGTGTTGTATATTCATCTACTCCCTAGTCCCAACCATAGATTAAAAATAATCTACGGTCAATCTCTTCCTCCCACAACACACACGGATCACTATCTTCACTTGTCCAATACAAACCTGGCGCTAAATCTCAGCGTCTGGTGACAGAGCCAAATCTTGGCACCAGCAATATTTTAATAGCGACAGAGCTCGAAGCCTCTCATAACGGTTATTTCGACTTCATACAGCAATTTCGGGTTCCTTGGTACGCCAGTTAGCCCTTATAAGCAAATTGACATGATTAGTAGCCGGCTCGATTACAATCGTAGTAAGTGATTGACCTGACAAAAAATCGTCTTACTTAGCTTAAGCGCCTAAAGCATTGGCTCATTACGAACACCAACGTATCGGTTCAAAAGCAAGCACTTATACGACAATTTTTCCAAAATTGGATTGTCATCCCCAGCTGACAATATTTCCAAATGTGGATTGTCGCGCATCTTCTTCAACGACAATTTTTCCAAGATTGGATTGTCATCTCTGGTAAAGTTTCCAAGCGTGGATTGTCGTGCTCCTTCTTTGTTTGGCAAGTCTTTCCTAGTTTGGATTGTCATACATTCATTGATCTTTGGCAAGTTTTCCGAGATTGGATTGTCATAAACCTAGTTCCCTACACTACAAAAAATGAGAATAGGTAACAGACAAAATTGCAACAAAATGACAAATGTTGCCTTTTGTAGTAAAAGGCAACATTACTTGTTTGTTACCTTGATCTTGAACAATTTGTACTATATGACAATGCAACGGTTTGAAAAGTGTTGATTTAGATTTTGTAAGAGAACAATATGTAAAATGTAGCCATTTATTTTACATAAGACAACAATTATTTAAAATGTTGCCCAAAAAGGTAACAACATTAAAATGGTTGCTTATGTAATAATATTAAAAATGCTTTTTCAAGGTATCTAAGACAACGATTGTTCATGTGTTTTCATTGCCTTACATAAGATAGGTTATTATTTAGAACATTGGCTTAAAAATAATAATAAAAAGATTATTGTCAATAAGAACAAATTATTATCTATTCAACAATTTGAAAACGTTAACATAAAGGTGTGTATGACAACAATAGTTGATATTAGAAAAAATAATTTAGCACCGGTAATTTTGGCCTTGAAGGCACACAAATTCAACAAGGTCGGTGCATATGTGTTTGGTGGATTTCACATTGCACAACATCATTTTTATAGCTAAATCAATGTAGAAAATATAACATACATGTAAAAGTTACTATTTTCATACGAGTAGAATTGATGTTATTTATACCGTACAAATAAATTACAAAAGGCTGGCAGTCTTTGTTAAAAAAAAATATATTGACAGTGGAAACAACGTGTAGCGCAGCATTATGTAGAAGCGGGTAGCAGTAGTACAACAAGGTAGCAGCGGGGCATTAGTAGGCACTTCTTAAAATCCAAGTGTAACACAAATCTAATGATATTCAGAGAAAAAATGTGCTAGTGATGCCCTACAATATGAATGTCAGTAATTATCTCAAGTCTCACTAGAGTCTGCTGCTAGCCAGTTCAGGTGACTGTCAAATGTTTTCAAGAACTCTTCAAAAACTTTGACGTCTTTCTGTTAATTAGATTCTTCATCTTCTTGCTATAGCAATATAGGATGATGGCTTTTCCTCCCTTAGTGGCGGTATTGTGTGGCATCTCTGATTGCTTTCAGGGTAAATATGAAAATCATTTCAGGTTATCTGCACACGATCCTGGATATTTCTACAATTCCTTCACATCAATCATACTCCTAAGTTTCTTAACATCCTCATGCCTACCAATTGTTGCATGTATATTAGATAAAACCACGAATGTAGCTCGATTTCTAGGCTCCAGCTCATAAAGTTCCTATGTCATATCTTTTCCAAGTTTTGTATCCAAATGGTACCCATCCAACAACACCAAGCAATGAAGAATACGAACTAGAATTCTCAGGGATTTCCAATATCAATAGTTGAGCTTTCTGATAAACCCAATAGGTCAATGATACAAGCAAAATGAGGCGGAGTTGGTATCATGCCATACTTTGTGGTAATCAACTTAAATTCTTGTAATCCTTTATCGAGTTGACCTGGGTGCATGACAGTAGACAATCAACAAACTTTCTCTTTTAAATTAGATAGAAAACTTCAAATGCAGCAACCTAAGCTGACTTAATCAAGTCAAGGTTTCATGTGCTTCAGTTTATTAATTATGAGAAATCTATACAATGAAGTTTCACTAACCTATCATATATACTAGTAAGCTATCATAGGCTTCCATTTGCAGGCTGCCAGCTGCAGGCTGCCATCTACACGCTGCCATCTGCAGGCTGCCACGAGCAGGGTGCCAGCTGCAGGCTGCCAGCAGCTAACGGCTAGCGACTAACATCAAATCGGCTCAAAATAGTTTGGATTACATCAGATATCTGTATAGATCAGTGTTGCGTCGGGTTAAGTTCATGATTGTCAAACTAGAATCATTTGAGATTAAATTTGGTCAAATTGGTATAACACTTATTAACATAATAAAACAAATTGACTTTAACATTTTTATAAAACTTATTAACATAATTAACAATTTGACTTTCACTCTTGAGTCAAGCCAATAACTATCGGGTCCATATTAGGTTTGAGCAAAGCCATTAACTTCGTGTTGGTTAATGCTCAAATTGGAGTTTTAGGTTCAACACGGGTTTGGATGGGCCTATTTCATATCAGTTAACTTTAGATCTCCTTGATATATTACAGTTTTGCTGATTTCGATTTAATATTACATTTGTATAAAACTTCGTCAAAGGTTATTACAAACAAGACTTTATTGTGTTCACCTTTATTCCCCTTATTTTAGAGAAAATAAGCTCATGTAAGCTTAGATAAAATTAAATATGCTTTGGAGAAACTTGAAATAGTTCAATAAGGTAACTTTTTTGCCATCTTTTGGATAACTTTTAATTTATTGGGTAACTTGAAGCGGATAAGATTTTAATGTAAATTGTCATTAAAATAAGTTTTATAGGGTGTTATGGTTACTTTTACTTACAAGCTTTTAATTTTTATCTGTTTATAGAAAGTAAATTTATCATGAACATAGACAACATTTTATTTATATTGGGGGTAATATTTGTTCATCGCGGACTAACTAATAATCATTTTAGGGAAAAATTAATACAAATATACAATATTTATTGTACATCCAATTTTTTATTTTATTTATATTTTTTCCTAAAAGAAAAAATAGTTTGGATTTTATAATAATTTATTTTTTATCCTAATAATATATTACCATCTACAAACTAGCAAGTTGCAACCGACATTTAACAAGTATACATATACTCCCTCATATAGTCATATATTCTTATTTTGAGAAAATCATATACTCCACATTTATTTTCCAAAAATAAAAATTAAAAAAACAACATATCATCTTCAACAGCTCAACTCCTCAAGACCTCAACTCCTCAACCCCGGTTTCTTCTCCAAACCCGCGAAATGGTGAATTACTTTTGGCTCCAAAATTTATTCATTATGAATCATCAGTTACTCCACTTTTTAGTTGTTGATCTCATTATACAACACACTCATCACCTTAAAATCATCATATCCATCAATCGGTTACTCACCTCCTTTCTTTCTACTCAGGTGAGAGTTAATTACGGGTATAAAGTTTCTGTTTTGTAATTAATTAGTTGCTTTGCTGTCTACTCACACTTCTTCTGTTGTTTTAATGATTACCTAGTTGGGTTTGATGTCGGCAAAGTTGTCGTTGTTTTCTGAATTTCAATTGTAAGTTACCATTGCCCCTTTTATCTCCCAAGTGAATTTAATCTTTTTAACTGCTTCATTTGATGTTGGATCTGATATTTAGATATAAATATCTTCTGGGTTGTCTTAATTCTGTCGTATTTTTTTGTAATTTTTTTTTATTTTTTAATATTTCTTGGTTATGTTTCTGGGCTAGCTTTATGATTGATTGAACTACTAAAAATTATCTAACTTCTGGTTGTTGCTTGCGGTGATTATGCATTTGTTAAGGAGTGGGTATATATAATTTTGACAGGAAATACTTTTGAGTCTTTCACTTGTTTTCATATTGAAAGGAATGCAAATGTAATTGCTCACTTTCTTGCTAAAGTCTTGCCTAAGGAAGGGGATGAACAATTGTTCTTGAATGATTTTCCACCAAGAGTGCTGGCTTTGGTGGAGCAAGATATGATGTAATTGTTTCTTCATTAATGAATCTCCCTGCTCCCGTTTGCTTTAAAAAAAAAGGAGTAGGTATATATATGTAATTGCAATTAGTTGATGATACAAATAATTGTGGTGGTTTTTTATGTTTGGAAAGATTTTGGATTTGGGTTTCAATCAGTTTATACAGAATACTCCGTATATGAGTTCTTGTTATCAATTTAAAATAGGAGTTACAGAGTTAGGGTGTGCTGAATGGTAGGCAATTTGTTATTAGTAAATGGGGTGATACCTGTATATCAAATTTGATATGAAAAAAACTAGATAATTGAATTTAGAGTGAAAATTTAATGGAGAGTTTGCTTTATGAGTGCTTATATATAGTTGTTGTTTGGTTGTGTAATTCTTACTCTATATATATATATGTGTGTGTATATATATATATATATATATATATATATATATATATATATATATATATATATATATATATATATATATATATATATATATATGATTTTTTTTCCTTCTGTATATTTGGATTCATTTTCGAAATTAATTAGCTCCAAGTATGACAAAGAAAAAATCCACTAAGCTTTTTTAGATGTAATATCTTCTGGGTTGTCTTAATTTTATGCCTTCGTCTTTATTTAACTTTTAAGTTTCTAGGTTGTTTATGATTGATTATATTACTAGGAATTATATATTATGCTTTTTGTTAAGGAGCGGCTATATATATATATATATATATGTATTGGGAGTTGTATGGGCAAGTCTCTTATTGTTGGTAACTAGATAGGCACAGCTCTTAATGTTCTCTATTGGTTTGTATTCTATAGTCTGTTTATATGCTTTAGCTAGTCTATTTATATGCTTTAGTGGTTTTTTTATCAATATATGATTTGTCGATTGCTTGGTTTTTTATTAATATGACTGCAATTGGTTGTTTATACAGATAATTTTGGTGGTTTCTTATTGTAAATATTTTGGATTTGGGTTTCAATCAGTTTTATACAAAATATATGATTTGTCGATTTCTTTGAATTGGTTGTGACAATGGAGATGAAATTAGCTTATACCCTATGAAAATTAGCTTATACGGAGTAGTATTACTTCACCACTATGGTCAGTTTACTCCAAGAAATTATATGATACCAAAAATCAGATAGATAATTGTAACTCAAATTTGATGTTAAATAACCTAGATAATGGAATTTAAAGTGAAGTTTTAATGGAGAGCTTGGAACAAAAGAAGGCTATCTTATACTTTATTGTTTTTTTCTTTATACGAGAACAAATAAAACATGAGGAAATTACTTTTGATGGCATTAGTTTAGAGGGTTCGAATACAATTATTTTCACAGATTCCTTAGAGTAAGTCAAAACATTTCATACTGTAGTTGAACATAAACTAATGTACCTGGTCAAGCTGGAAATAAATCCATTTTAGATCCTATAACTCTTTCTATCTCGTCTAAACTAGCAGATAGTTGAAGGAACTAATTTTGTCACCTACTCTTGTTTATATTCCCACCTCTACTATATTTCTGTTCTATATTGTTAAGTGAATACTCTGAAATAATCAGGGATTATTAGAGCTGATGTAATGTTTTTCTTTCTCTACCACCTCGTTCTGTTTTAATTGAAGAAAATAATGAACGTCTGACTAATTTTGTTTGATTCCTTTATCCATTGAAGAGCATGTTAGTCTCACTAACTCAAAAGGGATCTACAAACTTCAATTTTCTTTTTCTTGTTAGATTATTGTTTTAAGAGCTCTCTTTAGTTTTTTTTTTACAACCTATAAATTGAAGCAATGCATCTTATGATTTTTAATTGTTAGAATAATACTTTCTAGTAAGCATTTTGTTTTGAAGCTAGGAGGTTCTAATGTATTCAACTTTATGCTAAACTGCTTTAGACTAGTAAAGTAATTTATGAAAGAATTGTCCCTTTATGATGTCCCTTTATGCTGGCCTTTCAAAAGCAACAAGGTATGGATGAGATGTGTTAATTATAACTTCAGGTCACAGCTCGTCCCTTTTATTAACTGATTGAATTATGTGACGGATTCAAGGTATATGTTGCTGAAATCTGCTTGTTGTGAAGCATCAAATTTTTTTTTTTGATGGAGTCGATGTGTGTCATTTTTTATAGAACGATGTTTGAAGACCAAATTTGTAATAAAAATGTAAGAATAAAATAAAGCTAGAGTCTTTTTGATTAATTGTGGCAACTAGGGTTAACTTGACAATTTAAAGCTATCGTTTGCTTGTATTGTTACTACTCTTTATTTTGTACAACCTTGCTTTATGACAACTTAAATATAAGATTTTTTCTTCTTCTGTGTAATTGAATTCATTTTCAAAATCAATTAGCTCCAAGTATGACAAAGAAAAATGCCACTAAGCTTGGAGCTATAAGAGGTTCAGGTGATGAGCATCAAACTCATGAACCAAGAATGGAAGAATATGAAAGGCAGAGAATGGAAAATATTAAAAATAATATGTCAAGAATACAAGAATTAGGTTTGAAGGAACAGGCTAAGTCACTGATGGCGCAAGTTCAAAATAATAGAGGCAAGCACAGTAAGAATAAAATGAAAAAGGTTTCAGGAGACGATGAGCTCTATAGGCCTAACCAAGATATGGAGCATGAACTTGATTCCACCGATGAAGATTTACCAATTCCACATTCTAACAAAAGAGACAAGTCCAATTCTATTCAATGGAAGGTAGTTGTTTATATGCTGTACATTTATAAATAAGCATGTCTCTGTTGTTTACACATGTAATTTCTGTATGAATCAAAATGTGTTGTGCTGCAATATATATGTGGGTTTTAAATTGAAAATGTGTTGCTATACTTTGTCTTATATATGCAAGGCTTCTGTCTAATACAAAAGATGTTGCCTTAATTCACTTTTTCTTATCTCCATCTACTATGATATGCTACTCCAAATTTGCTGCTCCACTAGTGAGTATTGTTCCACATTCCTGCAAACTTCCCTATTCCCCTGGCCTTCATTCTTAAGCAATTAATTAACTTTGTTCCCTTGTGATGATGTGGTTTTCCCCTTCCCTGATTTTGCAATAGAGGTTTGGGCTTGAGCTGTGGTGGCCCGTCAGTTTGGTCCATCACCTTTTCCTTGTATGCTCATAGCCTCATATACCTAAAGATCAGCTCAAATATGTCCTCTTATGTCAATATGGTGTCTGAAACACTAAAGAACATAATTCCCAAGGCTACATGAACCACATGCTTAGACATTATGTTTAATATCTTATAAATGCTCTAATGAATGTGTGGTCTATGATCATTTAATTGCTTTTAAATTTAACAAGAGTTATAGTGTGTAACTTTTTTAAAATTGACATAATGTCTTTTTGTACAACGTTTGTACATACATATATTAGAGTACTGTATTTCTTTCTTTTTCCATGTTTGTTCCTAATTGCAGATTCACAAAATGAAGGCCCTGACTCGAAAAGCAGTGACAACAGCTTTGGCAAAACGTCGACAGAATGTTGATTTGGATTCTTCACATGATGGCTCATCTACCCCTAATCATACATTGCAAGAACCAGTTGAAATGCTCAGATTAGAAGTTGAACACTTAAATCATGACAAGAATGATAAAGAAAATGGCAAGCTATCTTTCATTTTTGTATTTAAAAATGTTTACTTGCATGCATGATCAGTCATTATCTTTTTTTAACTTTTGAATTTCTTTGCTAATGTTAGCTGAAGAGGATAAGCCTAGAAGAGGACCCACTATGTGCTACAAAGTCCATGGACGCAGCAAAGAAGAACGCTTGGAAATTACCTTGAATGAGCATGGACAACCTGTTGGTCCTGATGACAAAACATGCAATGAGTTCATTAGCTTCTTAGGATCAATAGCTCGAAAAGCAAATATCCTACCATTGACTATCAAGAATTGGCCCGTCCTAAGAACGAGAAGAAAGAAGAACTTTGGGATTATGTGTTGGTGAGTTACTTATTCAATTAAATAAATATAACAGATATATTTTATAATTGCTTAACTTGTCCTATATGGTCCCTTCTATCATGTCACAGTGTCATATTAAACTTTCTTGATTGACATATCTTATGTAAAAAAAATTGAATACCCTACTGTCATTATTGTTGTTGATCTGCTGTGGCGTGTTCTGCGAAAGTCTGCGGCGTTTTCTGAAACCTATTCTCCTACTTTTTTTCTAAGTAGCAGAATAGGTTTCAGACTTTCAGTGAGTAGTTTTCTTATGTTCATGATTTATGATTAGATTAATTAGGTGGCAGTGAGTTGTTTAACATTGCCAATTTGATCAATTTGGTATAACCTACTCTTTTTTTTAATTGTTGTAGAAACATTATATTGTCCCAATTGAGGCCAAAAAATGGGTTTCTCAAACCGTTGGTGCTGCTTGGAGAAGGTACAAATGTTATTTGAAAAGAGTACACTTTCATAAATATGATAATGACAAAAAAAAGGATGATCAAACGACCAAAACGAGTCCCAAAAAAATGTTCCAGGACTTGTTAAAGATTTGGAATGATGACAAATATGAGGTATTTACATTTATACAAGTCTTATATTTCCCTCCCTTTATAACTAATGTATATTTCTTGTCTAAATAAAAAGGTTATTTTATTTAGTTCACCGTCTTAATCTGTCAGGAACGATGTATGCAAAATAAAGCAAATCGATTAGTTGGAAAGGAAAGGAACATTATGCATACTTCAGGACCAAAGAGTTTTGCTAGGGTTCGATATAAGTGGGTGAGTTTGTTTATTGTTTGTTTCTTTGTTTTCTTTTCTCATCACTTTTGTTATTAGTTTTATTTTCTTCATTAAAATGATTGACACTCATCACTCTTGTATAGAAAAAGGATAATAAAACAACACAAAATCCTAGTGTAGCTCAAATGTTCATAGCAACACGCAAGAAAAAGCTAACAAAGCGAAAGCCTGGTGACCTAAGGGACAAATTGATGTTAAAATTCATCCTCATTTTATATTAATTTTTATTGCATTAAATTTTGTCAATATTAAATTTTTTTTCTTTATCTTTTAAAATCTAGAATGAACTTGAGAAAGTAGATTCAAAGAAGGAGGTTGAAAGTGTGATTTCAACTATTATTGGTAATAATAACAAGAAGGCTTTGATAAAGGAAGTTGAAGAGAATCATGCTCTAGAGGTTCAAGCTCTACAAAAAGATTACGAGGACAAAAGGAAACAAGATAGAAGGGAGATAGCAAATGGTCTTAGCTCCATCATTTCTCAACTTCAACAACAAAATCCTCAAATGTCTTTTGATCTAAGCATGTTTGGCTCTTTATTTCTTGATAGTCAATGTGATAAAGATGATAATACAACACAAATGCTTCGACTTCAACATCCAAGGTAAAAAACTTTTAATTTCTATACTACGCAAGTAGAGGTAGATAAGTGGCTAAGGTTTTTGTTTTTGTTTTTTTTTGTTGCATTTATGCGATATTATTAAGTTAGAAAATTTTACACGGATTTTTCTTTCTTTATTTTTTTTATAGGGAGTGAATAATGTGGAGGATGAACAAGAAGAAGATGAAGCAGGCAACGAGTAAGAAGAAGAAGAAGAATGTGACGTCATAATTTGAAGTTGCTCCAACTTTTTTTTATTGTTATTTCTCGCTCGGACATAATTATTTTATTTTGTTTATCAGCTAGACTAATATTATGAAACAATAGTTAATTTAGATAGGATTTGATGTTGTAAACATTTTGATACCGCTTTTGCTTTTTTTTTTTACTATTTAATTTTATAAGTTTAGGATTTTCTAATTAAATGCTTATTACATCTTTTAATGTTTAACATTTTTCTAATATAACTAATTCACAAGAATATGATGCATTTCCATTCTTTAAACATAATGTAGTAATATATTATAATAGAAAAAAAAATAGCCGATTCATTCTAGTCATTCAATTATATATAATAGTTTTCTAAATGTTGTCTTTAAAGAATTTGGCAACGCTTTTGTATTATTACTAGCAAATACAACAAATGAACATATTGTTGCATATCAAAACATTAGGTGATAATTTTAAATTGTCTCCTAAGATGGAAACAATTCTCTTTTGTTGCCTTTGTAAATTTGTTGCCTTAGGTATCATTTTACCTTGGCTTTAAATATTGTTTGCCTTTGTACTAAAATGTGTTGCCTTGTGAATAGACAACGGGGGCATAGATTACACCTCATATGTGTTGCCTTAGGTTCAAGGCAACACTTTTTTAATAATACGCAATAGTTTTTCACTGTTACCTTTGCTTTATTTTGTTGTAGTGTATTATGGCAAAATTTCCCAAAGGATTGTCGTAGGTCTCCACTCATCATAAATTTCGGCAAAGATTCCTCAACATGGATTGTCATTCATTTCAGTAAGTGGCAAATTTTCCCGAAGTAGATTGTCGGTCGACTCTTTTTTTTTTTTTTTTTGCAAATGTTCCAAGACGCGGATTGTCATTTGTGGCAATATTTTCCTAAAAGGATTGTCGCATAGCGTTGGCAAATTTCCAAGGTGGATTGCTTTCAAGATTTATATTCCAAGATGTGGATTGTCGATCGTAACAAAATTCTTATGACAGACTGTTACGAAGCATTGGCAACTTTTCCCAAAATTGGATTTTGGCAAATTTTCCGAGATACGGATTGTTGCTGCATCGTGGCAACATTTCCAAGGATGGAATGTTACGAAGCATTGACAACTTTCCCTAAATCGGATTGTCATACATCATACAAGAGTTGTGTTGGCAACTATTCCCAAAGAAAAGAGGATTGTCATCACAACAAAAGCACCGACATACTGGTTCACAAGCAGCAAAGCGCCGACGCACTGGCATAACAACAGTAAGGATCAACAAGCAGTGGTCTTTTCGAAGACTATCACATCGGAACTTGGAGGCAGTTACACGCGTAGCAGTCTTCAGGTGGTATTCTCTAGCTTGCAGAAGATCGTCAGAACCAACAGCAGGATGGTGTTCCCTAGCTGGCGGAAGGTTGTCACAACAACAACAATGCAACAACAACAAATCGGTTACCTCTAGAGACGTGTGCTCGACGGTGCAAGATACACGTTTCTTAACTCTATTATCTATTTAACTAACTCTAGTTTTGCAGGTATCGGCGTTACAAGAATGATTTAGGATCGCAGAGCATTCTGAATCATTCTCCGTCCCTATCGCTACTTTGACTTTTGTTTTCGAAACTTGCGTTTCTCCAAACTCAGTCAAAGTGGGAGCTTCTGTAGACACCCATTTGTGTCTCCCCAAAACCAAACCCAGTGATGAGTACTTTTCACGTCGAACCATAATCGAATAAAGTGAAAGTGTGGAAAGTCTAGTGTTGCGGATAGTTTTTATTTCTTTTCTTTCTCTCTGTTTTAAAAAAACCTATTTTAAGAAAACAGCCAATCCAGTTTGGTGTGGTCTATGGCAAGGGTCTAATAATAGTGTAGTTGGGTTAGGTTCAAAAAGAGCTTTCCAACGATATATTATAAGCCTAATTCTGATAAATAATGAGGAAGTTATAGCCAAATTACTAAACTGGACCCGGTTTGATATTTATATGCGGCCCAATGATCTAGAGGAGGGCCTAATATTGATTTATCATTCCTAATGCACTTAGAATTGATAATAGTCTTCTAGATTCTTCTAGAAGGTTCTTTTGAATCCTAATTTAATTAGCATTGATAAATTGACTTTGGTTGACTTTTAAGAGTTTTAATCAGAATAAAAGAAGTGTTTTTAAGGAAAATACAATTTTGCCCTCTCGTACGACTAAATTATATCAAAATAAGAAAACGCGTGGAAAACTGGATTCCAGCGCCTGGTGACAGGACCAGCGCCTGACGCCACTCCTGGCGTCTAGCGCTAGTGTCCAGCGTTTGGTGCCAAGTTGTTTTATTCTTTTCGAAACTCTGATTCGTTTTTTTATCATGTCCGACTGATTTTCTCTATAAATAGCCTCCTAAAACTTCTGTTTTCAAGGATAAAAAAAAAATCAACTCTCTAGTTTTCTAATTCTCTCTCTCACCAACTCTCATCAAGAATCTCTTGATTACTCTCTCTCTCTCTCTCTCTCTTTTCTAAACTAGCCTTTTGCATACAAAATTCCGCATTCACAAGATCTAGAAACACCTAGCCAAGTTCGAAGTTACCTTCTCTCTAGACGTGAAAGGTTTTAATTTATGAGGGTTTGGTCCCAAATCTAGTCTAAACTTTCTTAATTCTTTATTTTAATTATTTAATTTTATTATTTATTATTTTCCTTGAAATTGCTAACGTGTGTATTTTGTTATTAGAAAGAGATACGAGGCATCCAAGTAAGTGTTTTAATTGATTTATTGATATTATGATATATAAATCATGTCTAGGTTGTTATTATGATTCCTAGTGTCATGTTAGGGCGTTTTGATCTTCCTAGTATCATGTTTAGGGTAATAACTATAATTTCTAATATCAAATATGGCAATTATGATTCCTGCGATGCTTCCTATTCTCTTCCTAATATTCATGTTAGTATTATGTTAGGGTTAAAGCTTTGATTTTTGATGTTTAATGACATGCTAGGGTTTGTTATTAATCTTGTTAATATCATGTCTAGGATCTTGCTATTATGCTTTAACATGATTATTTTATGATGATGATTGTGATGATTATTATTATGTTGCTTGATTATATATTTATTGTTATTGCTTGATCACACCTTTTATGCATGTTTAATGGGAATTGGTACTTGTAATCACGCTTAATAAGATAAATAATAATCTTGTTCAGGGTTAATATGATTATAATTTAAGTGATCGCCAATAATAGATTTATTTGTGCATTAAATTCAACCAACATAGATAAACAACTTTAGGGTTAATCCTATTGATTGCATGTTAGTCAGAAAGCGCACATGAATACGATCAGAATAAAGTAGAGGTCTATTATTAGGGCAGGTTTAATCTCTTTTAGGTTGGATTTGTACCAGTCATGGTTCCAGAAATATTGGAGTTGACGATCTCGTGGATCGTTAAGGGGCGTAACCTTCACCCTGTGAACAATTTACAAGTTCCTAACACTTGTTGGAGACTCTTTTGCTCTAGCTTCCTTCCCTTTGGACGCCACTATACGTTAGTGTATGATCACAGTGGGGTTCAAGTTTGGGGTAATGCTTGAAATATTCCCTACAACTTTCAAATCTAAGCATTTAGAATTTGATAGTTATTTCACAATAGAGTTCGTAAACCTTTTGTTGGACCTTTATATAATTTACTTTTGCTTCCCACTAAACTTCTTATTCATAAGAGTTTCTATGTTTCTCGATAAGTCAATCCTCTTATTAACTTCATGAGAAAACACGTTCCAATTCCTATATGCAATGCTTCCTTTAATCCCATAATGGATTCCTTGATCTTGCTTTCAAATCTAGCATTTATTTAGTTTTTCAAAACCCTTAGACTATTTTCATAGTCACTTCCAAAATCCTATTTTAGGAAGGCGGTTTTGGTATCTATTTTGCCATATTTCATACGTGCAATTTTGCCAAAACAATCACGAAAAGACTTTAGCATTCTGATTGGAAATAGGTTTTTAAATCAACTCCGTGAATTTAATTGTATCCTTTTCAACCAATCTAGCTATGTATACATATACATTTCCACATTTGTTAGTTTTCTCCTTGAAAACTTATTTGCAATCAATGGGTCTTTCACCCTTTATGCAAATTAATCAAATTTTAAAACATGATTTTCAAACATGGAGTCTATTTTGGATTTTTATGGCCTCTAACCATTATTCGGAATTTGGATTTGTCGTAGCTATTTTACAAGACATTATTCCCTTACTATCTAATAGTAAATAGTATGCTTGTAAGTCTTAGGTTTATTTCTAACTTAATAGAAAATTTATAGGATTCAACCTAAGCCTTTGGTGAATTCTATACCTATACGGGGTTATTGCATCAAACACTGAGTTTCAAGGCGCTTCCAAAGCCCTTGATTTTCTTGATCTTACTCCAACTTTTCAAAAGTTTTGTGAGAAATGAATTCTCTTTTAAGGCACTTGTAAAGTCCTTTTGAGTATTCTTAATCAAGTATTCTTACGAAGCCCTTTTAAGGTCTTTCGTGATTCTCAGTTCTAGTTTGTTGCTAAACTCGATTGTCATCGAGTTCATTTTCCTCCCACTTGTCGTTTTGGAAATGTGTTACTTGAATGCTTATAAAGAGACATGTATATTGTCTTTGGGTAAAAGTTCGTTGTAAAACAAACAGCTAGCTGCCACTTGAGCTATCTAAGCCTTTAATGATCCATTAAGCTCCCACTCAACCACCTAGCTCTTGCTAAGCCGGTGAGCTCCCACTGAGTCACTTAGCTCCCACTGAGTCAGTGAACTCCCACTGTGGCTAAGAGTTTTAGACATATACTTGAAAAGACATTTAGAATTTAACTCTATCCATAACTGAATATGGCGTCCTTTCTTAGCTTCGACATTTTGTTTATTGTAACATTAGTCCTTCGTGCAAATCTTAAGAACTTTATAGGAAGGGATGTGATCCATCTTTGTTCGAGTCATTTTTAAATGGCATCGAGGTCTCCGTGAAGACACACTATGTTCTTTGTGGAGTTATTTATGAAAATTTCAATTTCATAACTTTGTGATGGTCACGCTTGGCTCAAGCAAACATCGCTCGATCTAATCTAGACCTTTTGATATCTTGCCAAGTCAATTATGTACTTCATTGAACTCTTGAACTATTTAAGGTCAAGTTTGTTCACATTTGATGAATATAGCCATATTCTTAATCCTCTTTAGCTTTCGGAGTCAATTATCTAGACCAAGAACAATAGTTTTACTTTGTCAGTTTCAACAAGTAAGACTTGCTTGTCTTAGAACGATT